CGACCTCCACCGTAACGGTCGCTTCGGCGAGCGCGTCGAGCGTCTTCTCCTTGTCCACGCCGGCGCCTTCGAGCGCGTCCGCTGCCTCGGGAGACCGCTCGGCGGCCTGCGCCTTAAGCTCTGGGAGGAACTTGCCGCTCTCCACGGCCTCTTGGAGCGCGTTCGTCGCCTCGGCCGCCGCGTCCTCCGCGGCCGAGACGTCGTCCGCGAAGATGGTGGCGTTGAACGAGACTTTGGCGCCGTCCTCGTCCTGGAGCCGCCGCCGGGTCGACGTGCTCTCGGCCACGATGTTCGACACATCGTCGTAGCCGCCCAACGAGATGATCGTCGCCTTGAGCGCCGCCCGCACGTCCGCGTCCTCGTTCACGTCCGAGGCCGAGAGCCCCGTCATGAAGAGCGACGTCGTCACCTTCGCCTGCGCTCCGGCGGGCGCCGCCGTAGTGGTCGTCTCCACGGGGGGCGCCGCCGTAGTGGTCGTCTCCGGCGGGATGATATACCCAAAGGCGTCCGCCGACGCCAGGAAGGTCGCGGCGAGGAGAAGTCGGGGAAACGTCGTCATCATGATGTCACGGGGGGTGTCCGAGAGGCCGCAGGAAAGTACGTGCGTGGTCGAGATTGCGGGTGCCTGCGGGGGAATCGACGCGGTTCCGCGGCGACGATCGACGGACGAGGCGCGCGAATCAGGGGTTGAAGACCATTCAGGCACGTCCGCCGACGGCCGGGAGGCCGGCCGCCGGCCGCGCCGCGGAAGAGCGAGTCGCTCTTCGCCGTCGTCGAGGTGCCCGCCGCGGACCACGCCGCCGGCGGGCGACGAGGTCGGAGGCCGGGCTTCCATGCGCTTGACGTGCACCGAGGACTCGAAGACGTAGCGGAGCGGGTCCCGGCGCGCCGGCCGCCGGCCGCGCCGAGTCGCTCTTCGCCGTCGTCGAGGTGCCCGCCGCGGACCACGCCGCCGGCGGGCGACGAGGTGGGAGGCCGGGCTTGCATGCGCTTGGCGTGCACCGAGGACTCGAAGACGTAGCGGAGCGGGTCCCGGCGCGCCGGCCGCCGGCCGCGCCACGCAAGAGCGAGTCGGTCGTCGAGGTGCCCGCCGCGGACCACGCCGCCGGCGGGCCGCGAGGTGGGAGGCCGGGCTTGCATGCGCTTGGCGTGCACCGAGGACTCGAAGACGTAGCGGAGCGGGTCCCGGCGCGCCGGCCGCCGGCCGCGCCGCGCAAGAGCGAGTCGCTCTTCGCCGTCGTCGAGGTGCCCGCCGTGGACCACGCCGCCGGCGGGCCGCGAGGTGGGAGGCCGGGCTTGCATGCGCTTGGCGTGCACCGAGGACTCGAAGACGTAGCGGAGCGCGCCGGCCGCCGGCCGCGCCGCGCAAGAGCGAGTCGCTCTTCGTCGTCGTCGAGGTGCCCGCCGCGGACCACGCCGCCGGCGGGCCGCGAGGTGGAAGGCCGGGCTTGCATGCGGGTCCCGGCGCGTTCCGGGCGCTTGGATACGCCGCGCAAGAGCGAGTCGCTCTTCGCCGTCGTCGAGGTGCCCGCCGCGGACCACGCCGCCGGCGGGCCGCGAGGTGGGAGGCCGGGCTTGCATGCGCTTGGCGTGCACCGAGGACTCGAAGACGTAGCGGAGCGGGTCCCAGCGCGTTCCGGGCGCTTGGATACCCGAGGGCGACGACTCGACGTCATCAACGTCGCGCTCAGGGACCACGCCGCCCCACGAGGTGGGAGGCCGTGTGTTAGTGCGGGGGCGGGGGAGGGTGGCGGGTGAGGGGGGGGGGTCGACACGGGGCGGGCGTGAAAGATCGAAACGACGAACTCGATCCAGTTTTCGTTTCCACGTTTTCGCTCGTCGTTTTCGAACGTTTTTTTACCAAGTACATGGCTCGCGCGGCGAGGGGGAAGGGGGGGGGGGCAATCGGGGGATATTTGGACGCGGGAGGAGACGATTGCGCGCGTCGAGCTGCTTTGAAATTTTCGAGCTCCTCCTGCGTCGAAAGATACAGCACGACCGGCCCAAAGTGCTGTCGT